TAGAATTACTACGGGTATCCATGTAGTAAGGGACTATCAAATAAACTATAACTGATATAATGAGGCATTCGCAGTTTCACAGTACAAAATCGTTTATACTTAGACATGCATGGCTTAATCTTTGAGACGAGCGTATGACTACTGGCAGAATCAACCAGATTGCTATTCCCACCGAAGGAACACAAAGTGTCCTTCAGTCGCGACTCGACCTCAGTATAAAACCGAGAGCCTTGGCGCTTTTTGCAAATAGCGTAAAATGACAGTCGCCGAAGCAACCGTCGAACGACCGGTCCGACGAGACTCCAAAGGGCTTCCCCAATGGAACGTCGAACCAATCGATCGTGTCGAAGGATCAACCTTCTCGCACTTTCAAGCACCGACACCGAAAGGACCAAACGAGCAAAGCACACCAACCTCGACGCCCGCCTGCGAGATGCAGAGCGAACAGTCCATAGGCAACGGTCACCAGTATTCGTAGGCTCCCGGAGTAGGGCCTTCGTTGCACGCTCAGCGACCGAGACCTGGTTCTACTAGAAAACCTATCTCGACCACTGGTCGCATGCGACTTGTGCACAATAGAACCGGTCCTACGAGTAGGACCACTCTTCGCATGGCGTACCAACGCAAGAGTCTTCTATCAGGGCGACTGCCCTCCTTACTCCCAGAGGTGCTCGCATGATGGGCACACTACAAAAGGATCCAGGAGACAATCATACTTCGTGGGGCCGAGAGTTTACTCAACCAGCCAACCACTCCGTAGTACTACACTGATGATCCCACCGCGGGGCGACTGATCAGAACCAGTCGACTCACGGATGAGACTATCGTCAAACTAATGCCAACCAGTCTATAAAGACTGATTGGGGGGAGTTGAGAAACTTTCATTTTTCTACTCCTCCATAAGGTATGCGCGAGGCGGCACACTGCGACAAAACGACTTTACGGTTCACGCGAGTAGTCCTAATTTTACGACAGTATAATTTATACGGTGCACTGTATATAAGCAATACTCAAAAATAGTGGTGCCATTTGCGGGTTGTCATACAGCTAAACAGTACCGGAGTAGTAAAACAGTATATTGTGAACAGCCCAAATCCTTAATCAGTTGGGAGCCCCACCTCGGACCCACCATGTACTTGGGCCTTCGACGGGGCTCGCGACGCGCGGCACGTCGTCGAGCCCCGCCCCCGCCGCCCCCTCGCCCTCCCGGGGACCCGCGACGGCCTCGCGAGCCGCCCCGACACCCCCGCGCCCCACGAGAGCCGCCGCGCCCGGCGCCGCGACGCTCCGGCGCGTCACGGGCCCCATCTCGCCCCCATCCCACGATTTTCCCCCCGCGCGCGGCCCCGGCCCCGCGCGGGCCCCTCCACCCCATCCGACCCGCTCCCCGCCGCCCCCGTGGCACCCACTCGGTCACTGAACGCCTCCGGCAGCTCCGGCCGACGCGCGAACGCTCCCGGCCCCGGCCCGAAGAAGACGTTCCCGACGACCGCGTCCGCGCCGGCCGCGCGACCTCGGCGGCCGCCCCGGCCGGCCTTCACCGTCTCGACAGCCCGGGACGACCCGCCTGCGCCCCGCCGACGACCGCCAGCCGACCCGGGCCGCGCCGACGACGCCCCGGGCCCGCTTCCAGCTTCGTGCGACCGCCTCGGGGCCGAACGCCCGGCTCGCGGCGTCTGCGACCGGCTCCCGGCGCCCGGATGCGCCTGGCGCGCCGCCCATGGTACCGCCTCGCCGCGGAACGAGTCCGAACGCTGCGAGACCCGGACGCGGGAGCCGCGCGCCCGCTCCGGGCGTCGTTCGACCGCCCCGGGGCCGGCCGCCCGACCCGCGGAGTCTGCGACCGGCTCCGGGCGCTCCGGTGGGCGCGCTGCGCCGCCCATGGTGCCGCCTCGCCGCGGAACGCCTCGGACCGCCGCGAGACCCGGACGCGGGAGCCGCGCGCCCGCTCCGGGCCCCGCGTCGACCGCGCCGGGGCGACGCGTCGCGACGACCCTTCGCCCGCGCAATTAACCTACTTTCTCCGAGGTTTAGAGCCCTGAGAGGCCCCGCGCGCGGGGGGGGTCGAGGGCCAAGTCCCTCCGCCGTACATCATAGAAGACAAAACTCAGTAATCATTACCGTCCGACGAGTGCGGCGGCGACGCGTCGTGCGCGGAGTCGTCGTCGTAGTCGGGCAGGAGCGCCGGCGGCCGGCGCTCCGCGCGCGACGTCGGCCGCGGCCGCGGGGACGGCGCGTCCGCCGCCGGGGCTTCGGCGCTCTCCGCGGGAGGAGGCGCGACGGTCGCGGCCTCGGCGCGCAGCGCGTCCACGCGTCGGAGCAGCGCGGCGACGTCCGTCGGTGCCGCCGCCTCCGCGCCGTCCGCCGCCGGCTCGTCCGCCGCCGGCGCCGCGCCGTCCGCCGCCGGCTCGGCCGGCGCCGCGCCGTCGTCCCCGGCGAGGTCG